AGTTAAAAAGGCTGAATGAGATAAGGATACATTGGAGTATGATAAATGCGACTGTATAGGATGACTGACAGCTTTCTATGTAACAAAGTCCTTTAATTTTTCTAGAGCCTTGGATGTTTGATTTGACCTTCTAAGGATCTTTTCGAAAGTATCTGGTACAACACTGACATATTTTGGAACATCCTGAGCAATTGTCTATAAAGGACTTCCGTTGTCCCCATTGTCTTCATCCTGCTCGATTTTTCCTATACCTCTAGTCTGTACTGTGGTTTCAATTTTGCCTGTACCTGCAATATCAGAAGAAGATGTCCATATAGTGGGAAGTGGAAACAAATCGATCAAATTCTCCCCATGAGATAAAATCTTGTTCGAACTCTGAGTCGAAAAATATGGTTCATTCTCAGCAAATATCACATCTCATGATACAAATAGCTTCTGGGACTAAGGATCATAGCATGTATATCCCTTTTTTGTCGAAGAATATACTAAGAAGACGTACCGGATGGAACGATGATCAAATTTATCATGATACAAGGTGTACATAACAAACACAACCAAATACTCGAATGTGAGACACATCAGGCTTTCTCCCTTTGAAGACTTCCAATGGTAACTGAAAATGGATTACATGACTTCAAAGACTATTTATTAAGTACATAGCTGTTAAAACTCCATGTGACCAATTTTTTTTCAGAATATTCATTTGAAGCATGAGAGCTCTTGTAGTCTCTAAAATATGTCGATTTTTTCTTTCAGCTACTCCATTTTGTTGGGGTGTACCAACACAATTAGTTTGATGTATAATGCTTTCATTACGAAGAAAGGCAGGAAGGAGACCCTTTGCAAATTCAGTCCCATTATCAGAACGAAAAATCTTTATTTTGCTATCAAATTGAGTGGTCACCATGCTATGAAAATCCTTGAAAACAAGGTAAACTTCATTTTTAGATTTCAATAAATAGATCCAAGTAGCACGAGAATAATCATCAATAAACAATACAAAATATTTAAAACCATCATATGAATCAATTCGACATGGGCCTCATAAATCAGAATGGATTAACTCAAAAGGTTTAACAGACATAGATGAAGAATTATTAAATGGTAGATGAACTTGTTTGGAAAATTGACAAACCTCACAAACGTGTGTTCCAAAAGACATAGATGGAAATAAAAAAGAAAATACATGACTAGAAGGATGCCCAAATCTTTGATGTACGATATAATTTTCTAGCATAGTGCTACTAAGAGAAGTGACACCAAATGGTTTGAAGAGATAAAGTCCATGTGAGTAGACACATTCACCAATCTTCTTCCTCGAAGTTCAATCCTGAAACACAACATCATTAGGAGAAAAAATAACATTGCAATTGAAGGAGTTAGTTATTTTTTCGACAGAAAGAAGTTGAGTTGGAAACGAAGGAATAACAAATCCATCTGTACTAGGAAGACCAGAAGAAAGATTAATTTTTCCAGACCCACAAACACGAACAAAGGTACCATTAGCAACTGAAACAATATGTTTTGATGAAGTTTTTGAGAAATCACTTAAAGATGCTGCATCATTTGCCATATGATCAGTGGAACCTGAGTCAATAATCTAAGTATTCAAATATTTAGATGTACACGAAGAGAAGTAAGCTTCGATGTTACTAGAGACATGAGTACTGGTAGAAGAAGTAGATTCTTTCGGACTAGGATGGCTAGGATGACCAAGTTGTTAGAGCATTTGAGTCAAATGATTCAGTGAGATGGTAGTGTCAGCAATAGCAGCAACTTTCCCGTTTCCTCCTTTCATAGTGGATAGCTTAAGATGAGGGTGAAGGTCCCAACAACGGCTCTTAGAGTGTCCTAGCATGTGACAGTGATCACATTTTGGAGCTTTCCGTCTTCCCTTGTTTTGAAAGTTTTTTCTTTTCTCATCTCGTTTTACAATAAGAGCAGTCGACTCACATACATGCTTCGGTTCAAAATTCATAGTCTTTTTTCGAGTTTCTTCTCACTGTATAGTTACATACACACTTGAGAAAGTTGGCAGGGTAGAACTTATAAGGATATGACTCTTGAGAGTCTCATACTCCAGCTTCAAACTACTCAGCAAAGAAAAAAATCTTATCTTCTTCGGCCCCTTTCAATAAGATTTTTCATTGATTGTATGTGGGCGATACATGTTCAATTCGTCCCACTTATTCTTAAGATAACCAAGATGCTCAATGAATGTCTTATTCCCTTGCTTAGCAGCATCAATTTCTCATTTCAATTCAAAGATTCTAGCAGCGTTGTTTTGATTTCCGTGAAGCTCTTCGACCGAATTCCACAATTCTTTCGCCGAATCTGAAAAAGCAAAGATTTCAGCAATATGTGCTTCCATTGAATTTAGAAGCCAAGACCTAACGAGTTGATCATTCGAAATCCACCCTTCGTACTTTGGATCTGCAGAATCTGAACAAGTGGAAGTGCACATTGATAAAACTCAACTTTTTCTTTCTACCAAGAGATAACGTCACGACCATTGACCATGGTATGTAATTTATACCATTCAAGAGAATGGTAGATAATTTCCATCCAGGATTAACATCATTCTCCATCACTATAGATGGATTAATGGCTTTCTCAGTCATTGTAAACTCAGAGACAAATTGAAAAGAACCTCGAACTGCAAAAAACTGAAAAAAAAAAACACGAACAGCTGACTTTGAGGGTGATTTTGACCCACCAAATATTGGCAAAAATAGCCCAAAAGATACGGACGATACAAATCCAACGGCACCGACCTTGCACAATTCCGAGTTACGGTTTGAAAGATACAACTGTTTTCGTAGAGGTTGCGCAAAGCTAAAAGAGAAAAAAATTTCGTTTCTGTGTTCCATTTTTTTCGAACTGTTGGCCGGATCAATACATCCACTCTGATACCATGAAGAATTTAATATATAAGAAAGAACATAAAGAATTACGTGGTTCTACATCGTATGACAAACCTACATCCACGAGAGGAGAGAAAACTCTATTCACTTATATTTGAAGTGTTACAATGACACATATATATAGTCATATTAAAACAATGTTGCCTTATTATAGATGAGACAATTACGGAAAGAATATAACAAATTATGGAAACATTTCAATTATCATCAACCAATATTCTCAAAATCATGCCATAATATTTTCTTCAATATTAGCAAATATTCTTCAAATTACCAAATATCTCTCTTCTCCAACACCATTAAATACTTGAATCTCGCACAATCATCAGGTCAGAATCTACATTCACGACGGTTGCATCATCACCAAACAGTGCCTGCCCAACCAGACTGTCCAAATGAGTGTCATTCGGTCCCTAGAATGTAACCGCAATAATTTTTAAGCACACTACTAGAACTCGTGCTCCTTTGTTATTCTCCGCTAAGTCCTTGGCCATGTATAGGATGGTGCCACCGATGAAGCAACCCTGTTGGTACATCATGAAGCGTTTTACAGAAGGACATGGCGGTGGCATGACTGAAGGGAACATTTAAGCATAAATTACAAACAAAAGGGCAAGATAACTCCACTACAATAGCATTCACTAATTCAACTAATAGCATTTATTTGAACCCGTTTAATGCTCCACTAATAGTGCCCCAGGGCCAAGTCAGCGAGTATGACTGTAAGCGAAAATCGTCAAACCGGAAAATCGAACCGAAACCGCAATTTCGAAACCGACGGTTTAGCGCCACGTGGACCCGTCAACAAAATGGTTTTGAACCAAACCAAACCGATCAAAAACGGTTTGGTTTAGGTTTGAGAATTTTAATTATGGTT